GTTATATTCGGTTTAAGATGCTTCCTTCGTGCCCAAACAGAATTGTATCATTTAGTTCAGGTTAACTTAGTTAAGGGTTGTTACTTGGTCAGGAGAAATTGTCAAACACAGCAGTTCTCTTGGTTGAAAAATAAGATAAGCAAAGCGGTACATTTTCAAAGCATCACTGTTGGGTTTGTTTCCGTGGAGGGCAGAGTATACATTTTGCTTTAGGACAGGGGGAGACATACAGGACGTACAGGAAGGCTCCAGAATGGCTGGGCATGATACTAGTCTTTTAAATTTTTAGAACTATTTTGTTCAGCATAGATTTTTGGTGCTAACTTTGATTTTTAAAAATATGACATGTCGACGTTAATTTTGATCCCTTCCCTCTGGCACCTACATGAGCGCCTCACTCTCCTCGACCTACTCCCCGCCCTGCCACAGGGTCTTGCTTTTGTTGGAAATACCCGGGCTCAACATGCCTTGTCCTTTTTGATTTGCCTTGTGCTCTCATCCCCTATCTCCTTCCATCTCTAAATCAAGGGAGGGGGATCTATTTTGAGTGTGTGTGAAGAAAGGAGCATAGACTCTAATAAATATTCCAGACAAGCAATGAAAAAACTGGAAGTCTTGCATTGTCAGGAATATAAATCTCTTCTAATCTCCCTTTGGTATTGCGTTTTGGTTGAAGCCAAAAATGTCAGTGGACAAACACAAGAAAAAATAACGAATCCTCCTCTCACCGTCGCCCTGATTCTGTTGTCGCATAAGAGAAAAAGTCAAATGAAAACAAAACATTAAATTCCCAAATATCACGAATTGTTTGCTCTTTCAAGACAGAAATTATCATAAATATGTTCTTGCTCTTGGTTCTCACCCTTCTGAAAACTCATGTTTCCACTCCCGATTCAGTCTTGTGCCGTTGCCACGTGCGACACAGGAATCGAATGCTTTATCTAGGTATGTAAACTGATGGCAAAGAACAGAAGCTTCAGGAAAAAACCCGAAGGGTCGGAGGAGAATCACAAAGAAAACCAACCATGCATCACTGCACTCAGGTAGGTGTTTTAGGAGATGACCTGAACCGCTAATGATGGCCTTTAGCAGACGACTGCTGCTTCCCGCTCAGCGGTCATCCCGCCAATCCCCATGGTCTTTACTTCTCTTAGCCCTACTCTCCGCCTTGTAGCTGAGTCTTCACTCAAGACTTCAAAACAAGAACTCTGTCCATGACCGCAGTGGCATGGCTTGTCCAGGCCTCTCCCTCACTTCCTGCAAACACACGATGGCCTCCCATCCTCCCCAGTTCTTCCCAGCCTCGCGTGAGCAGGTCGCCTTCCCACATCTGTGTCTTTTTGTCCTGACCCTCTCTCTGTTCTAGAATCAATGCCACCCTCCTGCTGCTAGTGGGACCAGGCCCATACAGGTGGGCTTTGCCTTCAGACACTGCCACAGTTTAAGGTGGACAGGTTATCTTTGTGTCATATTGCCTTCATAGAAAGGTAGAAAGTAGTGACTCCAAAGCCTTTGCTAAGTGGTTGTAAATGAACAAAATGGTGAGGTTTGAAATAACATGATAGTAAGTAAATCACTGACCTCCGTTAAGCAGTTATTAGAGACTGGATACTCTTCTCACAGCACAACTACTCTGTAAAGTTGGTGCTGCTTTTTAATCTCTGGTTTGAGGTGAGGGAACTGAGACAGAGAGGGATGAATCTATTTACCCAAGATCACAGCTCGAAGAGCTGTGGAAAAGGAATTCCGACACAGGGGATCTGGCTCTGGATCCCAACATCAGAACCCGCGTGCTCAGCTCTGCAGGAGCGTGCTACTGACAGGCAACTGACGTGCAACTGACGTAACGATGCAGCCCGCAAGGTCCTGCAGTTTGTGATTCGTCATCCCTGTCATCTGTCAGGACCAGGGACCACTGCTTCTCAATACAAGTGCCACCCCGAAGCCTGCCATTTAAGGGCTTCTGCCCTCTGTGCTGGCCGACCCCTTCATCGTGCCCATGGCCAGCCGACACAGTTGTTACTCTGTCTAGGCCCTGCTTCAATCTTCCCAAACGTCCAGGCCTGTGGACCCCTCTCCAGTCTTCAAAATCCACTGCAGATCCTTGCTCTTCTCACAAGCCATCCCTGAGACTACAGGTCACATCTCTTTCTCTTCTCCAATTTCTGGTCTGGAGTGCTGGTTTCCTCCCTTTGTCAACATGAAGACTCCTTTTTAATGTCAAGAATCACCCACCTCAAATAGAGTGATTGGTGATGGCAAATCTGTGATATCTAACATGGCGGATCTAAGCTGGAGGTTCTTTCCTGGGGCTGCTCGGTACACTCATGGTGGGGAGATTTAACAATTCCTACTGTCCACACTGTGCCCTAAAACAAATGAATCACAATCTCTAGGGGAGGCACTCAGGCATGGTCATTCTTCAAGCTCCCCAGGGGATTCACGTCTGAGAACCAATGGCCCAGCACAAACCACTCTGCCCTCTGCGACACACTTAATAACAGGCTTCGTATTATTTTTATCCTTGAAGGCCTCCTTCAACAAGTCTGCAAGCTCTGGGAGTCGAGAACATGCCTTCAGATTTTAAACTTCCACTACTCAAAGTGTGAATCACGGACCAGCAGCATCACAGCAATACCTAGGAGCTTGCTAGAAATGCAGATTTTCAGACTCTCTGCCGCAGACCTCCTGATTGACAGAGGGTTTTTGTTTTTAACAAGATCTCCTGGTGATCTGTAGACATAGCAAGCTTTGAGAAGCATGGGCTTAAGGTATGAAGGCACTATCTACAGCTCAACGGGTAGGACTCTCAAGCCTCAAAAGCAACTCAAATTAAATATGCATTTATTTATGTATTTTTACTTCGCGGCATCATTATCAACCCTTCTTGGCTGCTCCTTGGCCTGTACCTAGAGGAAAACAGATAAAGTCTTCTCCAAATGTTTTCTGTCCAATGATGCTAGCCTCTGACATCCACAGAGCACCTGGGAGCTCACTTCCCTTCCCCTGAGGTCCTGACACTCACCTATGACCCTGGTCTAGGGCCAGCTTGCTTTGACCTTACAATTCTTAATCTTACAGGGATAGAGAATGGGAGAGGCTAGACAACTGTATAGCTTCGGATGATCTTAGTTTGTAAGCTCCTTCTTTTTCCTAAGAGTAGCAAAAAAAAGGTTCCCTTCTTGGTATTTATATGCAAAGAGCATACCTGAAAACCACATAAAAATAACTTCTATCAACTATTCTTCAAAGCACACTATTTCTGTATTTCAACATGCCATATCAAAGTGGAAATTTGGCAAGTCAACACCAGTGTTTTTTTCAGGTGTGTGTTTTCCAGCTTTTCCACAGAATACCCACAAAATGTCATAAATGCAGCTTAACAAGGGATTCACAAACAGAAATGCCACTGTGTCTGTTTTCTTGCACGGGGAGGGAAAGAAGCGAGTTCATTAAGATTCTGGTGATATAAGGTCTGCTGTGAAGAGAAGCCATTTGCATTAGTTTAAACTAGAATTTATACCTTGACGACAGTTAGAAATCTTGGGAAAATTTAAGGGAGCCCAATTATCTGAAATGAAAAGCGAGACCATGAAATGTCAGCCCATTTAGACAATTTGATCATATTCTTATTCACTTGTGGCTCTTAGGGCCAGAATCCAGGCGAAACGCCTTACTTGAGCCAGAATCTGGTCTGATGATAATTGGCACAAAGATGAACTTTTGAAAAAGTGCATTTGAAAAGATGAACCACTTAAAAATTCTTTCCTGCTCTGCGGGAAATGGACTGAAGCTAGGTCTTGCGGTGCTACTCATGCAATGGTGCAGGAAAGAAGGAGGTCTGAGCAACGTGAATTCCTTTCACTACATTTCTCTAAAGAATATAAGATTTTTATATCTGAAATAGTTTCAAATGAACATCAGTCTCTCAAGTTCCACATCGATATAAAGGAACAATTCAACACGCATCAATATTTCTGAGACACCGTGGAATAAGAAATACCATTATCCTACGTACAGCTAAGAAAGACAAAAAAATGCCGTGATGTATATTAGGACATGTCATTGATTACAAAGATGACTCTCAATTTCAGAGATGATAAAATATGGGGCAAAATGTGTCTTAGAGTTGTTGACATTCAGTAAATTAAAAGCATGACATAAACGATGCTTTCGTGAGAGAAGGACAACAACTCTTTGGCCAAATTTAAGGTTTGGCTTCACGGTGGCAACATCGCTCCTGGTTAATAACACAATAATACCCTCGTTGCTGGCTTTGCCAAGTGCTCAGCGCCCCCATACACGCTGCCTGTGTACCAAATGTTTGAGATTAATCCTAAAATCTGGATATAAAGCAAAATCCAGTGGTCTTCCTTTCAGGGCAAAATGGCGGCTAAGCACAGCCCACAGCCCGGCTTGCATTTTATTCATTGCAAACGTGGCTGTGTGAGGAGCCCAGCGTGCATTTTTACCAAAAGGATGCTAATTATAAAGAGCAGAAGAGTCAGGAGGGCGCGCCCCTCCAATTTCAAATGGGCACCTAGGCTTTGGTAGAGGCTAGTCTTGTGGTTTTGGTGATGTGTCACTTGGGCTAGTAAGTTACACAAGTCAGATGCAACCAGGTGCAGCCTAAGGGACCCGGAAGTACAGCTAATCAGGACTCTAGAAGAAGGATCACTGGTGTGCATCAAACTCCTTTGTGCTTCTTGCCAGGGATTTAGTCTCCCCCGCCCCGTAAACACAGTCAAAGCGACCTCAAGGGGCTAGAAAAAGCCAAAAATGAAACAACAAACCTCCATAAAGCACTTTCTAATTCAATAAGTGGATTAGGAAACGTGAAGCATTTTCCAGGCAGGTGGACTGATAAGATTTGCCAGAAAGTTGCCACATGTCCACTTCTAGTCACCCTGTGTGGAATTATGTAAACTTCCCTAATTCTTTAGAAATGAAAGGAGGAATCCCCATGGCAGCTTTAGAAGACGAGCAACTGGTCTACTCACGAGGACTGGGAGGCCTTTCTTCTGAGTAGATAGTCCACCACGTCGGGGTCGGTCTCCAACAGGCTGATCAGGACTTCGTTCTGGAGATCTGGCGAAACCTGGAGGGACCAAATGTTGAGGCATAAATCAAACCATTCCGGGATGAGGAAAAATACGGTCATGGGCAACTCTACGGTAACATAAAACAGAGCGTTAAAAGTCGTAACAGGACAGAGTGATTTGCCAGTTAAAATCAAACATACACCAACTCATTCAGCCATTTTAATTCTCAGGAAAAAGTGGATGATGACCGAAACGTCATATTCAGTCCGAACTGTCACCCCTCTTATGACCGGAGAGGTAGCCTCATCACTTGATTCTTCTATTGCTCAGATGAGGTTTTCCTGGCTTTGGATAAGCAAAATATCACGGTTACGAGGGGCAGTGCTCATCATTTACTGTCCAAATGGGGACACTTTCTAGAGTTCCTATTTCTAATTCAGCCAAGACGACAGGCATAAATTGTAACTGTCTTGGGCAGTTCTGGAACATAAGATTAGTTTATTAAGAGGACGGGCCCTTGGGATGCCTGGATGGCTCATTCGGTTAAGTGTTCAACTCTTAAATTTGGCTCAGGTCATGCTCTCAGGGTCGTGAGATTGAGGCCTATGTCAGGCTCCGCACTGGGGGTGGAGCCTGCTTAAGATTCTCTCTCACCCTCCCCCTCGGCACCACGCACCCCCCTCTCTGTCTCTTAAAAAAGAAAAAAAAGAGAACAGGCCCTTGAGCCAGACTGTGTTTGAGTCCCCATTCCATTTATTAGCTGTAGGACCTTCGGCAAGGCATGTGACCTTTTCCGGTCTCAGTTTCCTCATCTGTAAAGTGGAGAGAATGATAGGCCTCACCATAAGGGGTTGCTGTGGTGATCAAATGACTTAGTACCCATTGCAAACTTAGAACAGTAGCCGGCAGATAGTCAATGCTTGAAAAAACTTGCTGACTACTGCATTTGCCCATGTCAGTTTATCACTGGGTGCTCGCCCTCACTCTGTCCTCGCGTCCTGCTCCAATGACAGTGAAAAAGGTTTCTCGCTTCAGCATTTGACAAGGCATTTGCTTGAGTTTTGGAGCTGAGTGTCACATTTCCCTAGGCTCACCGGCAGCGTATTAGAAGATGGCCTCATAATCCTGAGCCACAATATTGTGTGAAAATGTTCTATGAGAAAAGAATGACCTCAGCTCCAACAGGCTTTCTACTCTACAGATGCTGGTAGCTCAAGTAAAGGAAATTCCAATTATTGAGAGGAAACAACATTTGTGTCTGATTCTCTCACAGAAGGGCTCGGAGACCAGGCTCTTAAAACATGCAGGGACAAGTCTTCGGAGAATAAGCGGCAGGTAGAAGAATCTGCCTCCTGCCTCTTGCAGAACTCAGTTCTTCTTGAGCTCTGAGAAGCTGGAAACAATTTTATTAATAAAAACAGGGATGAGAAAGCAACAACAAAACTTTCCTTCCCCAATAAATCTGCTCCTCCCACTTAATCCTGTGTCTTCATTAATGACATCGCCAAACCCTACTCACACAAACTCAAAGTCTGGGTTGCATTCAAGTCCTCTCCCCTCCCTGTTCAGAACCAGGAGACCTACTTGACTTCAGCTCTGTGAAGCTTGTTCCTTCTTTCCTCTATCTTCCACTCTGACCACACTGATCCAAGTTCAAGCCCTTGTTACCCCTTTGTAGTGGCATCGTTGGCCATTACCAGCTTCCATTTCCCTCTTGTTGTAACAGTTCTGCCCCACGTTCCCTCTGAAGAATCAAGTGCTCCCCACCCCTTAGCTCAAGGGTGATATGTAAGCTGGTCGAAGGCTGCCATCATGCCCCTCCCAGATTCCCGGGGCTGCCTGTGCCACGGGCATGGGACACCATTCAAGGTCATGAATAGCCGGGGGAGTATCCCCGAGGCATCTGAGAAGAGACAACACAGGGCCAGAAGCCACATGGGGCCTGAGGATTGTGCTGACGCTGGAAGAACCTACAGCAAGAAAAGGAAAGGATCTCTGGATAGCATGAGTCCTAGGTAAACCTATGCCCGAGGCCGTGTTTGCCTGTGGATCTCAAATTCCTTAAACTACTTTGATATTTTGGTTGAAAAGAAAGATACATCCTTCATGGGCCTTTGATGCAACTGCTTGCTAACTTAGACACTGGCTATTTCCTTCACCACCGGTGTCTAATTTCTTCTCTCCGTGGTTGTTCGAGTGCCCTGATCAAGATGTTTTCTCAGAAACCTTTTTATCCCTACAGTGGAGGCCCCCCACTGGCCAGCGTGTGTTTGCCATCTTGTCCCCTGGTGGCCACCCTCTCCTGCTCTCTACTTCAGCAACCACTGTGCTTCTCACTCTAGCCTTTTCCCACCTCATTCCTTTCATTCATTACATAAATATTTGGTGACTGCTTATCGGCTGCCAGGCACTGGATGTGGGGATTCAGCTATAAACCAAACAGATGAGAACTCTTGTGTCCTTGAAACTGACAATCGCTATGGGAAGACTGGCATTAAACAAATAAAGCAAACATAGCGGGGATCACACGGAGATGGAGATGAACAAAACAGAGAAGGGACAAAGGACTACGATTTGGGGGGGAAGGGGCAGGGCAGGGAAGTGCCATTCAAGTAGGATGGCAGGTCACAGAGAAACTGCCACTTGAACAGGGAACTGAAGTTGATGAAGGAACTGGAGAAAATAATTCCAAGCAGAAGGAAGCAAAAATCGGCAAGATCATGAGTCAGGAGCAGAGAGGAGGCCAGTGAGGCTAGAAGGAATGAGGAAGGAGGCGAGCAGTAGGAAGTGGGTCGGGTAGACAAAGCCAGATGTTGTGGAGTCTTACGGGTCAGGATAAGGACATCTGCTCTCAATCTAGGTGGCTGGGGAGCCACTGGGCTAACATGAATTGGCATCGCTGGCTGCCGCACTGAGAGCAGATCACAGGGAAGCAAGGGGCGATGCAAGGAGTGCCAAGAGGGGCTGCTGCTATGTCCAGAAGACAGATGGCAGAGGGCCGGACCAGGCTGGTGAGCCAATGAGGTATCTGTGGATCCCGGAGACAGTGAAGATAGACATGATCGAGTTAGCTAATCTGCTGGCTGGAGAGAGAAAGAAAGAGGGAGAGGGAGGAGGAGAAGAGGAAAGACGCCTTCAACGTTTGGAGCCGGCAGGCACCTGGAAGCACGGGGTTGCCCCTAACACTGGCCTGTACAGAGAAGTTGCAGGTGGAGGAGGTGGAAAGTCACAGCTGGGAGGGTGGCTTCCCTAGGGTAAGGGGGGTGGGGAGCCTGTGGGACATCCAAATGAAAGAGAGATGTAGGAGGCAACTGAGAATAAGGCTCTGGGGTTCAAGAGAGAGGACTGGGCTGGACAGAGAAATTTGGGAGATGCATATAGATGGCATTTAAAACTCTGTGCCCAAATCCAGTGGCCCCGGGAATGAGAATGGGAAGGAGGAGAGAAAGGGCAGGGTTTTTAGGTCAAGGCTAAGGGGTTCGATTCTCTACTTTATTGACTAAATTAAACATCAAAAGACTGATAATTTTTATTTTTTTGAGCGATTTTTTTTGAGCAACACGACCCAACAGATACACACTATTGTACCAATCTGTAAAAAAAGAAAAAAAAAAGTAATGCCTGAAGGGTAAAAATGAGGAGAGAACTCATTTGTGAAAAATGAACAGAAAGCAAAAAACAATATAAGCCAAAAACGTATATCCTGAACACTTTGTAAAAGAAACTTCCATGAGCAAATGAGGAAAAATATTTGTTTTTCATCCGGTTAGTTTAATTTAAAATTTTCTATGCTTAGACACGTAATAAAAAATTTTGTTCCAAGCACTAATCCATTCCCACTGAAGAATAAACAACCCTCATGCGTATCCTTTGGGGTGGGGTATCATGGTATTAATTCTGTGAGAGTAGACAGTGTGTCTAACAATAAATTATTAACTTGGGTACACTATTAGAATAGGTTACAGGAAGTATCATTATTTAAAACATAACATTCCATAATGTTCTGTTAAATTATTCCATAATTCAGAGTTTTTACTCTCTCAACTCGGCTCGGTTCCCAACCAATTATAATCATTGAGGTTTATTTTATGTAGCATACATGACTTTTATTTGCTAACAAATGCAAACAGAAAGGGTCAGTGCTATAAATCTATCTATAGTTTCTTTTTAAAAGACCCATGATGCCATTCTGACTTGGAAACGCTCTTTAAAAATAAGTATAAAGCTATAGCTTCAAAATGTGGATTCATGTACTACAGGAAGGGTAGGTAATATTTTCCTCTGTATTAGCTAAGACTGACTCCAGTGTACATAATCCATTTATTCTAATTAGTTTATTTATATCCCATCTTATTACAAAATGACTTAAAGCAGCTTTAAAAATTCATATGATAAAGCCACATTTGTTTGTTTATTGTTAAGGAATGGTACAGAAAATTGGGGCCAGTGGGAAAATGAGAGTAGAGAATTTGAAATGATGCCTAGAACTGACTTGTAATATTCGTATAACGGCCTCCAGTGCTGTCTCCCCAACAATCCCTCCAATCTTTGTCCCTATTTGCATGTTTCATTTCCTATTACTTAATACAAATTTCAAACTACTGGCTCAGTTCAATTGGATGAGCATTCATTTTCTGTGAAGTTAGGTATGTAACAGAGAAAACACAAGTCAAGGGAATGAACTGATAGGAAACGAGCTTAGGGTAAGTCAGAAATATCCAGACAGATCATTCCTATATATGCTCCTCTGTGGGAATCAGGATGCTGTCAAAAGAATTTCTGATTAAGAGTCGATAGCCCCCGAGGTCCAGGTTTTATCAGCTTTGCTGCAAATAATTCCTTAATGTAAACTTGGATACATCAACAGTCTTCTTTAGGATTCTGTTCCTGCATCTGAAAATCCAGGCATATCCTATCTGTCCCATTTACCTTTATTTAAGTGTGATGAGGATCAAAAGGACCAACAGTTTTGAAAGTACCTTACCAATTGCAAAGAGGTTCAGAATAAGAAATTTTGTTAGAAATAGACAAAATAATTAATAAATCAAATACTTAA